CTCAGCGTTGCTGACGATCGACTTGACCTGGCCCCATGAGCCCCTCAGATTCCCTTCCTGCGGAGTCCCCTTGTCCTATTCCCATCCGACACCACCACCTCTGCAACTAATTTTTCCTTAGTTCTGTCAGGTTTTATGTGTTCTGAGCCGATGTTACCAGGAGGGACTTCCCTTCTCATCCAATTCTGTCCAAATGCCACCCCAAAAAAGCTGTGTGTTACTGCCTCTTGGTCCCGTCTCCTCCTTCATCCACCCCCAAGTCCCTGAATTTACCACAAGAAACTACAAGGGTTTGCAGGTGCCAGAGGAGGGAATGTGGGCCTCGCCTCTCCAGACAGGATGTTGATTTCACACTGTAAAGAGCATACGGGATGGGCTATGGACTCATGGGACTGTCCTTGGCAATACATTCTGTCACCAAGATCAGTATACAATTAACCACATGTCTATTCAGTAGCAACAACTAGAAAATGAAATACCATTTATACCAGTATCAACAAACATCAAATGCCTAGCAATAAAAGCTAATGAAAGACATGTAAAATCTCTACACAGAAAACTACGAAACATTCCTGACAAAACTTAAAGACGTCTTAAATAAATGAAGGAACCTATCATGTTCAGGGATTGGAAGAATTCTGCAGTTGCTGGGTGCATGTCAATTAGGTCAAGTTGTTGCTGTGTTTATGTGGGTTTTTGTTTAGGGGTTTGTTTTTTTTTGTTATTGTTGGATCAACCCTTTTATCATTATGAAATGTCCCTCTAAACTTTTAGAGATGCTCATTGTCTTAAAGTCTACCTTGTCTAACATTAGAACATTTATCTAATATAAGACTCATACACAGAATACATAAAAATCTTCGTGATATCAATAGGACAGTTTATAAAAGGGGGCACAAAGGTGTAAATGGCCACTTCAAAAAAAAGACATACAAATGGCCAATAAACATGAAATGAGTTCAACCTCGTTAATGATCAGGGAAATGCAAAAGGAAAGCAGATGATTTACTGTCGATGGCCTAAATATAAATAAAAATGAAATTAAATTTAAAACAAGTATTGGCAAGGACTAGGAAAACTGGAATCTCATGCATATATGGTGGGCATGTAAAAATGATACAACTACCCCGGAGAACAATTAGGCAGTACATAACAAAGTTGAACACAATCCATCTTAAAAATGCATACATGAGTGCACCCAAAAACATACATAAGAATATTTATAAGGGCTTTTCTGAATAGCTCCAAACAGAAAACCCAATGCCCATCACTGACAGATGAATCAAGTATGGTCTATTGAAATAATGAAATATTGAGACCCAAGATGGTGGAGTAGATAAATGCTGTGCTTGCCTCATCCCACGAACACATCAAAATCACAACTAAATTACAGAACAATCAGCCTGGAGAACCATCTGAAGTCTAGCAGAACTTTTATAACTAAGGATATAAAGAAGCCAAGTTGAGACTGGTAGGAGGGATGGAGACGAGAAATGGGCTAGTCCCACACCCACATGTGGCTGTTGAAAATTGGGAGAGCTTTCTTGGCCACAGAGGTTCCCCACGAAGGGGCAAGGGACCCCAGCCCCCTACACCAGGCTCCCCAGCCTGGAGTACTGATGCCAGGAAGAGGAGCTCCCCTCAACTTCTGGCTGAGAAAAACAGTGGGGATTCTGACCTGCGGGTGGGAAGGCAGGCTGGGGAAACCCAGACATCCTCTTTAAAGGATCCCAACAAGCACTCACCCTGGGCTCTGGCGAAAGTATGGTGACTTTGGGAACATTGGAGACATATGGGGGGGGCTGAGCTGTGTAACTTCAGGGCAAAGGCTGGAGTCCCCATTTCCCCTGTTGTGGGGCTGTCTTTCTGGCAGCCAGCAGGCAGGTGCCACCTTTCCTGTGTTTAGCCCGCCCCCACATGGTCACATCTGAATCTGATTGGCCTGGTGAGCTCTGCTGCTCCACCGTGCTGACTCACTGAGTCACTGCCTCACCCAACATGCTTACCGCAGGAGGCTTTATCAGAGGCTGAGCTTTATGGGAGCTGGCAGGTGGCAGCAGGCCTTGGAGTGTTCTAACTTTTTGCAGAGCTACCCAAGACCCAGAACTAGTGGCCACCATCCTTGGTTCGCAGCATGGCCTATCCCACGCGCCTCCAGATACAGCACAGGGAGTGACCAACCATGGATCACTCTGTAGCTCCTACCAGGTACCCCCCGGCCAGTCACAGGCAGTGGCTGACCTGGACAGGCACTGGAGCGCCTCCCAAGAAGCCCCAGAACCAACATACTTAGAGGCTGGCTTCAAATCACAGCAGAGAACCACCCAATTAGCCCCACAAGCAGCACACACAAAGGGCGGTCTCAACAGGAACCAGAGCCCACTGGTGCAAATATTGCTCCGTGGGGTAAGCCCCCGCAAACAGCACCCCATAGCTGTGGACATGACCAAACCCCACAGCCAGTCAGCCTGCGGGTCAATCCCACCCTGACATGCCAACAGCAACTAAAGCTCAACTATAAAAGGAGGGCACACTCAGCCCATTGGTTTGGGCCTAGAGGGTATTGTGCTGAGTGGAGTACATCAGACAAAGACAGATGGATGCAATGTGATTCCACTTATATGTGGACTCTAAAAAACAAAATAAACAAAATAGAAACTGACTCATAGATACAGAAAACATTTTGATGGTGGCCAGATGGAAGGGGAGTTGGGGGGTGGGTGAAAAAAGGGGAAGGGATTAGGAGTACAAATTGGTTGTTACGAAATAGTCACGGGAATATAGGGTATAGCATAAGGATTATAGTCAATAATATTGTAGTAACTATGTATGGTATCACATGGGTACTAGATTTATTGGGGTGATAGATGGGAGGGGATTGGGAGGCAGGGTGAAAAGGTGAGATTAAGAAGTACAAATTGGTAGTTGCGAAATAGTCATGGGAATGTAAAGCATGGGGAATATGGTCAATATGGTAATAACTATGCATAGTGCCAGGTGGGTACTAGACTAGTCAGGGGGATAACTTCTTAAATTATATAAACGTCTAACCATATGCTGTACACCTGAAATTAACGTAATATTTAATGTCAACTGTATCTGAAAAATTAAAAGGGGGGCAAGGTAAAGGGGAATAAGTGGTCCAAATTTCCAGGTATAAAACATGTAAGTTATGAGGATATAATGTACAGCATAGGGAATATAGTCAATAATATTGTGATAGTGTGATATGGTGTCAGATGGTTGCTGGACTTATCATGGTGATCACTTCTTTAGGTATATAAATGTTGAATAATTATGGTGCACACCTGAAACTAAATATAATATTGCATGCTAACTATATATTTAATAAAAATGTTTTTAAAAAATTATACAGCAATACAAGTGAACTATTGCCAAATCTACAATGGATCAGTCTCACAAGGTTGAGGTAAAGAAGCCACACACAAAAATGTATGCAATATATATAGTTCAAAAACAGGCAAACTAATTAACGTGATAGCAGTCAGAGTAGTGGCTTTTCAGGGTTAATAATTAGAAGATGACGTAAAGGAGGGCTTTGAGGTGTGAACAGTGTTCAACTTCTTGATCTGGGGGTGGCAATGAGCATGCACACTTTGCAGAAACTTAATGAGCTTAAGATTTATGGACTTTTCTGCATATGTATAATACTCCAATAAAGGGCTTACGATTTTTTAATGATTTAGCTATATATGGAGGGTGTAGCAGAAATATGGGCAGTAGGATCAATCAATAAATAGCTATATAGCATATTGTTTAAAAAACAAAAACTACTTACCACAAAATAATTAAGTTAAAAATGGTTGCCCTTAAGAGGTAGGAGGGGACTATTTTTTTCAGTAATTTTTGGTACTAGGTATTTTTTAAGTGACATGCATGTTTATAGGTCAGAACATTTCAAATTTTCACAAAGGAATAATTACTGATGTAGGTAAAATGTAAACAGTTTCCTACAACTAATAATGGTAAAGTCTGTCTAATAGGAGAAAATTCACTTTCAGGCAAATTATACACATCAGGTTTAAAAGATAAAAATTTATATAAGGAAATGATAGATGCTATAGTATCCCCAGTTTTAAGCCAAATGCTAATCATTAAGAAAGGGGAAAGAGGTGAAGGGTGGCAGAATATGCCATCCAAAATATGTCATTTTGCCATAAGGACTATTTTGAGCTAAAAGCATTTATAAAAAGAGCAGGTGCAAGATGGGCACCAGCTCTCCTCTTTTTCTTGCTAAAAACAGGAGATAAAAACCTCCATATGGAAGATGTCCTCCTTACACCAGAAGGAAAGTAACATTCTTCTCACCAAGGACAGGGTGTTGAGACTCACTCACAGAATATTACACAAAACTTATGAAAATAATTCTTCTCTTCCTTTAGCCTCCTCACATAATTTACTTTCCCACAATTGCCCCTCTTTGTTCAACCTCATCTTTAGGTTCTGCCTCTTCTTTGGGTCTTCATTTCCTTAGGAGGGATCCTGTGTCACATAAAACGTATTAAATAAACTTGCATGATTTCCTGTTAATCTGTCTTAATTGTCAGGCCCGGCCAGAAACCCAAAGAGGGTGGAAGTAAAATTCTGCCTCCTCTGCAGAGGCAAACCCTAGGTACATTTTATTCTGTTAACACATAGTAAAGAACCTTAGTTGTTAACATCATATTTTCTCATTAGATAAAAAGTAGCACCTTGGTATTAGAACATAGAGTGATATGCTTCGGATGCAGTGTGTTTCTCATGGATGAAAGTTATTATTCTTTAGTTTATTCTTCAGATTAAACAGCCATTTCCCAGTGTAGTCTGTAGAAGGTGCTAATAGGAATTACGTAGAAAAAGATGTTCCATGGCCAATCATGTTTTGGAAACTGGATTTCTTTATTGTGGAGCTTCTTAGAATCATCACTCTGTTAATGATGTACATTGTGATTCTCCAGGAGAAGGATCTCCCACTTTGCCTCCAATGGTGAGGCACTTTAACATTTGTCAAATTTAAAAAGAAAAATATATTTTCGATGGCACAAATACATTACAGAAGAAATGAGGCAGCTATTAGTAGTTTGGGGTAATCTAGAAATCTGAAAATCTCAAACTTCCTCCATGCCTTAAAATCTTTCTCAGGACTGATAATATCTTTTAAATTCTCCTAACTATTTGGTAGCATTTGTGAGTTACTCTACAGGTTATAACTGAGTTTTCTAAAAGAGAAATTCATTCCATTAAAACCACGTCTGATACAACATTTATAAAAAGACATTGGGTGCTAAAAAAGCTTTCTAAATATTAATTTATTTTTGTGTTTTTCAAGTCAAGACTGTATGAACTACTCAGTATTTAGATACAAGAATAAAAAGAACAAGCAAAAGATGTATAGGATATCTTTTTTTTTTTTAATCTGAACGGAAAATGAGGATATATATAAGTTTGCTAAAGAGAGTGGTAAAAATTGAATGTTATGTATTATGGAATCAGTACATGAATTTTACTCTGGTAATTGGTGATTGTTATAGTTAATTCTGCAAAAAAAACAAAACCAGTTATGCAGAAACAAGAATATAAAAGCCCCTTTCTGAACCCCAGTTTGATGAAACTGACTTCATATCGAGCTTATTGATAATATTCAGTTTCAGTTCTCCCTGTGTAAATAATACATGTGGCCATTAATGGTGGTTTGGTGAGGTGAAATCCATTTCTCTTAGGACTGTTCAACATTATAACCCAAATATAAAAAAGTTATTAAAGATTCACAAAGATAAACCAGTGCCTAGGGAACGGAATTCACCCATGTGCATAATAGTTTGATAACGTATTTTTTAAACATAAAATCAGTCAAAGACAATGATGACACTGCATACTCAGGGCATTACTTCAGGCAGCGCATTCCTACGGCTCGTCTGGAATTGACCACCATGGAGCCACCACACTTGCACTGAATGGGCTTCTAACGTACACAAATCCATCCAACTCTTTAAAAAGTCTAAAAATCTTTAAGACCTTGAGCTTGACATGTGAGGACTTTGTGTTTTAACACCCCAAACATTGGGAAGAATAGGTGTGAAACACAGTAACTATCCTTTGTAGGCAAGGTTCCTTATATTTTTGTTGTATCTCCACAAAGAACCCTCAAAACAACTCAGTATTGCAGATCGAGAGGGGCACATTTATTATTTGGCCAAAGAAAATTTAATGGCTTTCCGGGAGTCAAAGTTACCCCAAGACATATACAAAGAATGAATATAACGGTGGCAGCGAAAGCAATCTGCCACCGGGTAATAAATGCCATTATGCAATGATGCTGTACATTTTGATAATACACTATGATTTGTTTGTTTCCCACCATCATGGGGCACAAGAAAATGGAACTCAAGACTATCTTGTTAGAGCAGGACAAGCAATGACCCCAATTTTAAATAGGGTTCTTCACTGAAGGAAAAGATAGAGCCATAAAAGTCAAATTAGCTGACTTCAAATGGTTTACATCCCAGGATGAATCAGATTACACTGATTTAAGCCCAATTTAATTTAGGCAGTTTTTAACCACAAGAATAAGGTCATTCTTAGTACATATTAATAATTAAACCAACATATACACAATTAGCATATCGTATATAATATTAAATGTTTTAACAACTTGTTCTTGATTAGTTTATATTTAGTTAATTTGTTGCTTTTTTTTTAAAAAAAAGCTCAACTTTATTTTACAATGTACTTTCTGTGTTCTGTAATTATTTCATTGCAGCAGGTACAGTTCTCCGATTCTAAGAGCCAAACTCAACTGTATCTTCTGTTATCTGTTTAAATTCATAATTGCCTCTGCCATCCATGTGCAGGTAGTACTATGGGAAAGAAGGCGGGGAAAAAAATCAGTGACTAAAAGAATTTCCCTTTTGTCAGGAATTTATATAGAAGTTATTACACAAGAAAATGATTGCAAATAATTATTTTAAGCCACTAAAAGTTCAAAAGTTTAAACTCAGAAATGTATACAGATCTCCAAAGAAAGACTAAATGAAAAAGTTTTTTATTTAAAAAAAAAATAGCAACACTATAACTCTGCTTGGAATGGATACAGTACTTTCCCCTCTGAGAATTAAAATATCAGACTTCCTCATTATTTTAAAGGAACCAAATCTATAAGCATCCCACAAATTAGAATGCTTCTATAACTCCACAACCAGGGATCTGATAGACCATAGGTAGAATTGTGCCAAGTGCAAGCCTGTTCCATAGAGCAGCCTTTAATAATACATCCCTACCTGGCTTCCCAGGTGAGCTCGGAATCTCTAACTTAAGGCTTTTTGTTTGTTTTTGGATTTGGCAGAGGAGGAAAAGAGCTATATAATGTGCCTATCTATCCCACTGTATGATGACACTTAGGACAGCAGTTACAAAGCCTTCTGTCTTAGTGGCTTTTTATTTACAGAAAAGACTTTTGTTTTTTCCATTTCCTAAGTTGTTATTTCTTAGCTATTCTGGTCTCTAACACTGCAGTTGTTCCTGTCATGCCTTCCTCCTCTTGATTATCGGCCTGATGGTTATTTTGCTCCTTGTCTACACTTCCAGAAAGGAGGAGAGCCAGAGTCCTCTCACTGTCCTATGGCTATAATGTTTAAACTTCTGAGAAAATACAAAGGCTTGGATACATTTTTAACGGCTTTGCTTTCTAGTTATTCAATTTCTCATTCATGAAAAATGGACAAATTATAAGATGCCATGAGATAATAAAAACTATCTTTAAAAGTCACACAGCTATGTAGAATTTCATTACATTGTATTAAATACTTTCATACAGGCCACCTCTTTGATCTGCATGGTAAGCTATGAGATCAATAATTTTATTGATCTCAGGTGAGGATCAATAATTTTATTATATGAAGGAAACAATTGGTACAAGAAACAGTGGTGCCTGAGCCCAGGTTTCTCTGACTTCAAGACCCATGCTCTTCATTTTATCATTTGTACACTATCATCTAAACCATGGGTGCTTGAGGTACTCTGTGTCCCTCAGACACTTAGCCCAGTACTTGGCCAAAAAGGTGCTCAGTCAGGTGTACATTTTATGGGACAAGACAAAATTGTTCCAACTTTTCTCAAACCCTTTCTTTTACCTAAAATTTCTGTATCATATTTAGGAAGGAAAAAAGAAGGAAGGAATATGAAATAAATTAAACTGGGTTTATTTTTAGGGTTTGATCATTTTGCACTGAGAGCTGAAAAGAACTGCCTTACTGAGAATGGCACTGCTGGAATGCCAGAATAAATAAGATATTTATACCAGTGTAAACTTCACTATACTATCTTTGTAAATTATCATGATGACCTAATGAATTCTACTTTATTACTGTGAGATGATAAACATAGCTGACATTATTCAGTTTCCCCATTGTAGACTTGATCACTAAAAATGTCCCTCAACTTTTTGCCATCTAATCCTTTTTAAGACTCTTTCCCCTTTTGTCTGGTGGTTAAATACTGGTGGTTAAAAAAAAGATTACTTAGCGATAGGTGTATGAAGATTCTGCAAATTTTAGTCACTTATTATACAATAATCATTTATAAAACTGGTTCTCTAATATCTCTCATTAACTAGGGGTTATAGATAGTTTTCAAAACTGTCAACTACAATGTCATCTAAGAAAATCCTATTTCATTTTATTAAACTGAAATAGAATCACTTTAAGATATGAGTATGTATATAAGGGAATATAATATACAACAAGAAATCTAAAACCATAATCACCAGAAGTCACACATTTTAATAAAATAAACTTCACTATATCATTCAGTGTGAGAAATACAAACCTCATGGTGTTTCCAAAGAGACTTCCTATGTGATACAGTGAAGAGGGTGATGCCGACCTAATACAAAGAAAATGACTTAGGTTTATATCAATAGCACAGAGTACAAATTAAACCACTCTATATATTTTAAGCTATTGAGATGACTGTCTTTGGTAGCTATAGTTAAAGTCAACGTCAAAAAGAAAAATTACAACTGATGCCAAATGTTTAAGGTAATACAAAATATAGGCCATCAACCACATAATAAAAACCACATAACAAGTATCAATAAAGCTCTTTAAGAAGAATAAAACTAAACTAACAGGTACTAGCATTGTGTATTATTTTGTTTGGGGCAGAAAACATATATCCTAGCACATTTCCTATTTTATTGTAAAAAAATATGAAAAAGTGTAAGGATAAAAATAAAGAAAGCTCAAAATCTGGAAAATTAAATCCATATAGTACTGTCTACAATTTGTTTTTCAAATACAGGGTCATGATTCTTTATCTGGAAACCCTTGTCTTACAATTCAGATTTTGGAAAAGCAGTATTACCAACCCCAGGGGGTTCTGGGACAGAATTATAAATTATAGAATTATATTAGAATTAGAATTATATAATTATATATATATATAGAATATATATAGAATAATTATATATATAGAATATATAATTTTATATATAATATATCTATATAATATATCTATATAATTAGAATTAATTAAACACATGAATGTTTCTGCAGCAACACATGTGGACTCCAATATTGAGATAAATAAAAGAGTTTAAATATCTTTCGTTAGTTCAGGCCAGGTTTGGCTACCCAGTGAGGTTGCCAGAAAATAACGAAAAATCTTTTGGTTTTAAAAGCTCGCTGGATTTTAGACTTACATATATGTACTTCAGATTTCAAAAAAATACTAGTCGATATAACTGTGGTTGCTCTGAATCAGTGGTTCTCAAGTAGGGGGCTGGGATGTGTGTGTGTGAGAGTGACAGAGAGAGACAGAGAGAGATTTTGTCACTTAACGGACATTTGGCAACACCTGGAGACATTTTTGATTGTTACACCTGAGAATGCTATTGGCATCCAATGGGTAGAGGTCAGAGATGCTGCCAAACATCCTACAACGCAGAGGACAGTCCCCACAACTAAGAATTACCCAGTTCAAAATGACAATAGTGCTGAGATTGAGAAAACCTGCTCTAGATCACTGTTTCCCAAAATGGATCTCTTGGGCCAACAGTGATACATGCTAGGGTATCCAGAAAATTTCCATCGTGAGTTCTAAATTTTATCGTCATTTGATAATTTTTTTTAATCAGCATCTGAGTGCCCAAGTTTGTGTTTACACTTCTGCTGGTACCAAGTGATGACTTAAAACTTAAAATTTTAAATGTGTCATTAAGTTTGGCTGCCATGTGGAAAGGTTCTCAAATTGGCTAGGAACTGCATGGCAAAATAAATATATTATTAGTTAATAAAACATACATTTAAACAGTGCAACACTTATCTGGTTTTTGAAAACTCACTTCAGACATTATTTTTCTTTTCATGATTCTACAATAACTGAATTGGATCTTGACTTCATGAGGCATTCTTTATAACAGAATTACTTTAAGTCAAAATATATAAGCAAAATTCAAAATGTAAGATCTGGACCTCAGATTATATCTTTCCATAATTATATCCCAAGCCAGTGGTTCAGTTTCAACAAAACAGTATCAGGGGTCTCTTAAATGCTAAAAATTTGAAACTGTTTTGTCGGTGCTGAGTTTGTAAATTCATATTGCTGTGTAGTTATATAAGCTTTAAGTTTAAGGAGTGCATACTTCATTTCTGGTTCATACATACTGAAGTGCCACTATAGTAATAAATAGAATTTAAATTACCACCTGGGGGCCCCATAAGAATGTTCTTCTAAATGGAATCTATGCTTTCTAGAATTCCATTTTTTCTTTCATCATATGTCAATGCTTCTCAAACTTTAATGTGAATTTCAATCACCTGGGAATTTTGTTACCCTGCAGACTGATGAGGAAGGACCCGAGGTTCTGCATTTCCCACGAGCTTACAGGTGAGGCTGATGCTGCTGATCCATGACCACTCTGAGTGGCAGAAAGCCATACCTAACGTACGCAGCAAGGCCTTTCACATCACTGCAAACTCCCAATGGACAGTTACAAAGTGTTAAAAGGCTCCTGGTACTTCACTTACTTACATAAAATTGCACAACAGAATACCTGCTCTTTTTCTCAAAATCCAACATGGGTATATAGATAGTAGTAACAATTCCTCATGGAAAAAAACCCCCGAGGCTATTTACTTAAAGAATGAAACCGATGTAGACAGCCTCAGAGAAGGCTACTAAAAGACGCTTCGGTAAAATAGTGCCAAGGCCAGAGGGGAAAAATGGATAAATTAAAATTGTCAAGATTATTGTCAAGTTTTCTTGATTAAAAACACAAATGATATTCAGGTGAAGTTAATGGACCAAATTAAGAAAATACCAGTGGATTAACTCTTGAGTATAGGGAATGAGGTAAAAAGGCAAATAAATTTAAATATATTATTTGTTTCATATGTAAGGCATGGATAGCTAAAGAAAATTATATACCGAATTCATTTACCTTTTTCTTTTACTTGTCTCTAGTAATTATCAGTTTAAGATCTTTACTAAAGCGAAGTATCATCCTTTGATAGAAGTTTTGTTCCTTAAGAACTTAGAATCTTTGGGGGACACAGTAAACCGAGAATGTGTCGTACGTACCTCTCGACAATGGCTGTAAATGTATCCCTCCACGTCCACACTAACTGCACTTGTGCACTCATCCAAAATGGCAAACTGAGGTTTATGATAAAATAATCTTGCCATCTAAAGTATAAAAAGAAATATTTTGTATAATCACATGCAGAATAAGCTAAAACAGATTTACTTTAAATTAAGTACGCATTTACAGTCATGTAAAGCAAGTATGAAAATTATTCTAACTCAAAAAATCCATTTCCCAGAAATAAAAACAATATACATAAACTTAATTGTTTCTGTTGTTTTCCCAAAAAAGGGAGAAATGAATAAAATGTTGTTAAGAGTAAAACAAAACTTTTAGGACTAAGGTGAGATGAAGCTGAGTTTTAAACTATTATTAAAAAAATTCTCTAAACAAGATTAAAGGGTACATACTTTAACCAAATCTTAGAATTCAAGCTTAGAGATGGCTCAGGTGCAAAAATATGTTGATTTTTAAATATTCTGTTGCTTAAGTAATGCCCATTAATATTAAGTTGCCAATTAATATTCCTACCAATCATTTTTTTACTGTACCTGTTTTATATCTCTGTGGTCAATATTTGGTGTGCTCATTTTTTAAAGCTTTTGCTAGTTTTATAAGTAAAAATTAACATTGAGATTGTTATAATTTACATTTCTTTGACTAGCAGGAATGCTGAACATTTTCTCATGTTTCTTTTCCACATATATTTTATGTTCCGGGAATCATGTACTCTGATCTTTAGTCTAACAAATAGTCCAGTATGTCATCTACCCCTAACAATGACCTCCATGTTGCAAGACCAGCGGACACTTTGCTATCCTTACCCAAAGTATCTTCTTTGCAACATTCAATCAGAGACCACTCTGTCCCTGAGAAAGTGACAGTGAAACCATGGTCCTAAGTTTCCTCCCACTTCTTAGGCTGCTTTCTCAGTTTCTTTTTCAGCAGTTTCTCTCCCACTTGACCATTAAACATTGCATCTTTCAAATTTCTGCTAATGTCACCTCCTCAGACAAACCTACCCTGACCCCTCCCCGTCAATCTGAGTGGGTCCTTTCTGTAACATCTCTACAATACTTCATGTACTGTGAATTGTATGCTGTCTGTCTACTTCCCTAAGGTATAATATTCAAATAAGCAGAGACTCCATTCCAATTAGTACTGTACACAGAACACTTTATAGGAAACATTCAAATATTTGATAAATGACTAAAACATATAAAACAGCTTTCTTGGGGTTTATATCTATTTCTATGAGGTAAAGAAACGGAAGCAGCAAGTATAGATATCGTGAAATTCAGAATGAAAGGCATAAACTAGAGGAGAACTTTGGTTAAGGCAGAGTTTGCTTTTGAGATCAGAGAGACCTGAAAATATCTTCGTGAAACAGAAGGACTAGAAGAGATTACATATAGGGATGCCCACCCACATAATTAAAGGAAAAAGACGTAATAAAATTGGAGAGAGGGCTGAAAAACACAGATAAAGACATTTAGCCTTTCTCGAAGAAGGATGGCATACCATCCAAAGACAGTGGGCCTGTAGGGAGGTCAGGACAGCCCAGTGCAAAGTGAATTAAGAGGAGTGGTTATGTGAAGGCACCCCACAAACGCCCCTCCTCTGCTCCCATGGACTCTCTGCTACCTTCATCACCACACTTACCACATTAGGTGGACATGTTCATCATGTGTCTCTCTCTCTCTCCACTATGCTGCCAGCTACTTGATACCAAACTACAAGATTATGAAGTGCTAAGTATACAAACACGCAGTCATGCTGCTGCCGTAGCCTGACAAGCCACCCACCACCCCAATCCCCACACGCTTTAATTTTTACTAGCTGTCCTTGCTTGGCAAGCTACTTAACTGTTCAACTTCCCCTATAAAATGGGGCATTCATGGTTCTTATCTCACAGGACTGTTGTGAGAATTAAATGAGATAACTAGTGTACAGTGCTTAGCATGCTGCCTATCATCTAACGCACTCAAAAAAATCAGCTATCACTTAACCTCATAACAGCTTCTCTTTTTTCTATAAGAAGTAGGAGGTGAGTTATTCTGCTGCGAGTGGTGGAGCAGGTAATGGGGTAGAAAGCCTGAGACCAGTAGTTTTTAAATGATTACCATGAAAAATGAGAGAGGGGAAAAAAATAAGTAAAGTGATTGTCAAGCCATGCTGTGAGCCCCTGTAAGATTGAAAACCATGGAAGTGTGGTGGTACCAATCCATAGCATTCTAATTTTTTCAGCTGTGCTCAGAAGACTGCACAGAAATGCCAAGGCAAACAACTGCTCTGGGGTTGCGGTTTAGGTAAATGAGGAAACGAAAAGTGGGAAAGGAAGTTAAGACGAAGGGATCTGTGTTCATTCCTTTAAGAAATATCTCCTGAATAGTTCCTACGTGCCAGGTCCCATGCCAGGCCCTGGATTAGGAAGTTTGTACTGGACAGGAAAGGAGGCAGTGTCAGTGGAGGACTGATTATTGTAAGGAAAGGGAGTGGTCAATATTCAAGAAATCTCAGTGAGTTCAAAGATGGGGGATAGTTGCCAACTGGGTAAAAGAAAAAGAATTACAAAAATGGATTTAAAAAATCACTAAACATTTTATGAACAGGCATATCTCTGGTTAAGGGGGTTTGGCCCTTCTTTACATTTTTATAAATGTTCCCAACTTTTCTATCATATATATTTTTTCATAATTCACAATAAGAAAACCCATTACTAAATAGGAAGAGCAAAAATAGTGGAGTGGGGAGGATAACTATCAGTCAGAGAAATAAGATATACCAACTTATGATACTAGGTGGAGCAACCTGGCTGATGATGGCTGGGCCCAAATGGGTGCAATGAAGGGAAATGTCACTTGAGACCTCAAGGGACAATGACAGAAGAGAACTGGATAGACAGTCCACCTGCACATTGAAGGCTATAATTAGTATTGGTTAAGAGCAAGAGTTCTGGCGTCAGACCCACCTGCACTTGAATCAGTTCCGCCACTCATTAGCTATAGGCTTAAGCTACTTAAGCCCTCCAAGTCTTTCCCTTGTCTGCACCTTACTTCACAGGGCTGCTGGGAGAATTAAATAGGATCTTCCACTCAAAATCAACTTTCCTCATCATTATCCCAGTGCATTTTCTTGGTAGCTGTAAGACTGCCTTGTATCACAGTTAGTTCAGAATATCTGGATCTCCTAACTATTAATAGATTATTAAAGGCGGGCACCTGGCTAATACTGAACACTGTGGAAACTATATCGTAATTAAATTAGTTTTTTCACCGTTAAAATAATCTTATTTCCATACATTTATACTGAAGGAACTTTTTTTCAAAGAACTTTTAGAAATCTGTCATGAGACCATCCTTTGTTCAATAGTATTATTCCATTCCCTCAATTTGAAGTCCTAACTCTCCTTACACAGAAGTTCCTTTGTTTCATTTGTTTTACATAACAAATTCACTATTTTGGGTGGTTAGGTCTTTCAAGTCTGTTCTTAAAAATTACAATTTGTATAATTTATATATGTAAATTTTTATAATTTATAAAAGCTGTCTTCACTTTCCTCAACTTTATACTCTGAAAAATTTTAATCCTATCAAAAATGAAAGAACAGTAAAATGAACACACATACTCTTCACCCAACTTCATGAATATTTGTTGCATAAGCCTTTTCTCTCTCCCCACTAATCCTTTGAAAATAGCAAAACAACATCCTCTCTTTTAAACTTCACATTCAATTCTCCCAACATTGGCCTATGCAGAACACACTCTGTCAAACCTGGTCAAACAGCCGTATCATGGGTGAGCTTTCTCCACTTCCCAAACAACTCTGTCATGGTTGATCTGGTTTTATGGGATTCCTTCTCCCCACTCTCTTACTCTTCCAAAATGTCCTCTCACTCCTCTAGGCCTTGAACTTCTTCAAATAAAAATTTTCCCTTCTGTACCTTTATACCACACACACACACACACACACACACACACACACACACACACACACACACACGCGCGCACGCGCACAGGATTCCTTAGTTTTGCACATTTATTTTTCTTTCTCTGAGTTGCCATTGTGTCTGTTTATGAATCTTGACTTATCCTTCCATTTTCTTTGAAGTTACAGTACAGGAATTTAAGTTTGTTCTCTTGACTTGCAATTATTTCTATAGCTATCCTCTAAATTGATTCGAGAAATGCCCAATCACTTCAAATTCTCACTCCTTCAGCTCAATTTCCATTATTTAATATGGATGACATCTCTTTTCTTTTATGATTAATTCTTCACTCTAGATTAAACTCATATTACAGCACTGGCCAGACAGATCACAATCTTAGGTTGATATTAAGCTCATATACAATGAGTATGAGTTGGAAAACATGCAAAATCAGGAAGTAAAAGCAACAAAAAGGTAGAATGTAATCTGAAGATAATGAGTAAGCAATTGTGCAATAAGCCATTTGTTTGCTGTCTTCCCTTGGCTACAGTTTTCTCTAATTTCCACAAGGTTAACATTCTGGAAAAAATAATTCCTCTCAATCTGCTCCAACTATGGTATGTTAGAAAATCACTCTTTAAAAATTATCCCTCCTAACAGAGTACTCCAAGTATCATTCTTAATATGTAGTGTATTACAATCATGGTCAACTAGGGATAAGTTTAGTCAATCATAAAATTAAAATAGTTCCTTTCAAATGCTTTTTTATAGTGTGAAAATTCTTAAGTTCTAAATAACTTTAGGTAGTAGATACTGAACCATGAAAAAGGATACATATTATAATGGAAGACAGAAAGGGCAAGAACAGAATACATAAAATAATAAAATTAGAGCTGATCATCTCTAATACCTTCAGCTGCTTCAGAGAGAATAGCTTGAATAAGGTAGAGATGTCTACAGGGAAAAGATGCAGTAAGAGATCTCATAACCCAACCAGGATTACCATATATCCCAGGACCAATGTGATACAAAGTTTCCCCAACTTTTACAAAAATGGATTAATGGTATATTATTGAACCTGTAGCTTTTCCTTTCACAGGGAAATGTATAGATTTTTCAGAATTCCAAATTTACATGCAAGTTATATACTTCAAGCACCTTTATTATCATTTAAACTAATCTATAACAATTGCTAATTAAAAAGATTAAAAGAAAATTGTGTGCCTTGATTAATCAACCAGTTGCATTGTTGTGCAATGCCTGCGGAGTATACTTACTGCCATTCTTTGTTTCTCTCCACCACTGAGTACATCCATCCAATCCTGAACACTGTCCCAGCCTCCTTCACGTTCAAGGATATGACCCAACTGGACATTATCTAAGTATTCCTTCAGTACCTTTCAGCAAAATGATTACAGATGACATCAAGCTTAATATAAACCAACATTCTCTATCTTGCTTTATTTTTTAAACTGAAATTGTTATAATTCTAATGCCAACATTACTTAAAGGGGCACATTTCACAATAGAATGTGACACAAAGGCAGCCCTGAATCCTTTACTTCCTATCTATACTAACTTTGACAAAATATATCCAGTAGCTTAAGGTGAATAACAGTATTGTATATAATTAAAGGACGAGGGTAATGAGAAAACAAACAATAGTATAAAGACAAGGTTAAACACTCAATAAGTCATATTTAAGCAAAGTAGTTAACATCGTACCTCAACTTGGAAATCATAATTATAATTAACGATGAAGCTTTATAAGGCTATACAGGTTAGAATAAACTATCTGGCATTAAAAATACTTAACTGATTAAGAAAAAAATCTGAAACAGAGTATCTTCACTATGTCTAGGATATACACATTTACTTACGAAGTCAGATATCCCCTTCCTTTTCTGATCTTCTCTTCCATCTGGATATATCACTTGGTCTCGAAGTGTTCCAAGGGTCATATAAGGTCTCTATAGAAGTAGAAACAAATCATTGGAAGTGAATTTTTAAACAATTAATAAAACTATCTTTAAATCAAAGATTACAAAATAACTCAAGCAAGGTCTTACCTGAGGAACATAAAATAACTTTCCTCTCTCAGGTTTAGTTAGACGTCCTCCAAAAAGAGGCCACAACTATAAAAGAAAAGGAGGTGGGGAGGAGCAGTTGTAAATTTCACCATGTGGCACATCATAAGGCAAAATAAAACTGCAAAATTTTGAGGCCAATTTGTACTTACTTCACCAAGAACACGGAAAAGTGAACTCTTCCCGCAGCCATTTGGACCACAAATTAGAACATTGGCCCCAGATCGAACCTGAAAGAAAATTAGTCTATGAGTTAATTAAATAGAGTAAATATACACACAATAAACATGTCCTTGCAGTCCAGTTCTTTGTTAATGATAAGCTTTCTGTTTTGTCTATAAGTGTGATATTAGAAGTAGTAGAGGGGATGGTTGAAGGAAACCTTTATTTTTGTTTACTTTCAAATTTTATTCACTTTTTAATTTTTTTTTTTTTTTTTTTTTTTTTTTTTTTTTTTTTTTTTTAGCTGCCACCTGTTGGCAGCTTAGCTTGGGCCGGACATCGAACCGCTGTTGCTCAGAGCTCAAACTCTTGAGCGAGCTCTTAACCAACTGAGCCACTCGGCCAGCCATCACTTTTTAAATTTAAAAATCATTATTATCAACTTAAACTCAATCAGAACACAAAGAGCTAAAGCTTAAAAATTTTGAGAATTCTTGAAAACAATAAATGTGTGTATACACAGTCTTTTTTAAAAAAATGGAATCACATTATATATGTTTTACATTTGTTATTATTTAACAATATATTCCATACATTCTTCCAGGTCAGTATATTCAAATTCCTCCCTTTTTTTTTTTTTAATGCTTGCTGTGTATTCCATAGTAAGGATGCACCATAATTTATTTAAACACTCCCTTTTTGTTAAATATTTAGGTCATCTGCATTCTGTTTTACTCTTTTAGATAATACTGCAATGAACCTCTGAATCAGTGAGCAAATTTATGTCCTGGTGAAAATGTTTCTATAGATCAGATTCTTTCAAATTATAAGTGTTGGATCAAAGTATATATGCACTATAAATATTTACAAGTGCCACCAAACTGTTCCATAACAACGAGTTAAATGAGAAAAATGTAAAAAAGAGTGGTTAAGTTCTACACTTAAGGTCTTATATGTTAATCAGCCCTATGAAGACTCCAAAACCTTACAACATTACACAGCAATGTACACCAGTGTTTTTGTTTGTCAGTGTTTGTACCAATGTACAAAGAAGACAACAAAGAGATATGAGTTAACCTAGCTGTGGAACCTACCTTTGACAATTTTACTGTTGAACTGAGGTTCTTATTATTTAATTCAATGAATATTTATTGAATTCTCAGTATCAGGCTCTGTTCTAGGCAATGGAACTACATTGATGAATAAAAGAGAGCAAAAACAACCCCTCTAAAACAAACAAAAATAGCCCCAAGCCCTCCCCTTACTATTTACATTCTAGTGGGAGAGACATACAATAAAGAATATGCACAATAAATGAGCTAATTAAATAATATGTTTGAAAATAAGTGCTATGGAGAAAAAAACAGATCAGGGGAAGGAAACCTGGGAGTGGGTGGGGGCAGTTGAATTTTTAAGGCGGCAAGGCCAGGCAGCTGGGCAAAACTTTGAAAGAAGGAGCAAATCTGGAGGAAGACTGTTCCAGCCCCAACTCTACCCAAAAAAGCTGACTCGAAGACACTGAGGCAGGAATATACATGTTCTTTTCAAAAAACAAAAAGGAGGCTCATCTGGCAGGAGTAAAATGAGCAGGAGGGAAGAGTAGCAGGACATGAACTCAGTGAGGTGGGAGGTGGGGGCAGGGTACAGGGCACTGTAAGCCACTGAAAGGAGTTGGCTCTTACACTGATGAAATGGAGAACCTATTTGCATTATTCACAATGGCCAAAAAAATAAAAGCAACCCAAGAGGGTAAATGGATAATCAAAATGTGGCATATACATATAATGGATATTAACTATTCAGCACCAAAGGACAAAAGTCAAAGAAACAGTGGAGGAGAAAACAAAACAAGAATCACAGGACAGACAACAGGTGGTACAGAATATGGTCAAAAAGTAAAAATCTTAAACAAGTAGGGGTGTAACAGGGCACTCAAGAGTTTCCAAATGAAACTAAAATAAGAGCAAAAAGGTAAGGGCTTTTCTGAGACTATAAAAGTGGAGTTACAGGAACTGGCCAGAAGTATATTAAATCTAAACATGAGGGCTGTAAAGGGACGGGCTTCTGGACTGAAAGGAAAGCGAGAGCTTTAGTGTGGTAACCTTATGACAAAGTGAGTAGTATCACAGACCATCATCAGAATCGTTATTTACTCCACATATCTGTACATGCAGATCCCAAATCCCTTCTCACCATGCTTGAGCCAAGTGTGCATCTGCATTGTTTGTGTAATCTATTTCTCCATAAAGACACAGTGAGGGAAAGTGGGAGAAAGGCCAGAGAGGATTCTTCAATGGGGAAACCTCATGACCCTTTTTACCCTTGGGTTCTGGCAATAAAGGGGCTATGAGAAATCTAACAAAGATGAGGTTCTGATATCTATTTTATCCCTGAAATCAAGCCTGATGGGTGGCTACCTACTGTGTCAAGAGTACATACCAAGCTGAAGTACCTAGAGCTAAATGAGAAAACACTTCTGTAATACTTGGAGTCATTCAGTATTTACCAACTATATACACATTTCCTCTACTTCCTCTTGTGTTCCTGGCTTTAAGTATGATAATATACAATACTCACTGCTCAATAAGTTCAAAGCACTTTGCATAACTGACATTTTTTTCATTTATAGTGCCTTAAAAGTTGAGATTTAATAAACATACATTACTAAGAGTAGGAACACAGAAGACTTACTGAAGATTATAACAATTTAAAAACAAATCCAATAATCATACTTATTTTATAACCTATCAGACAACATTTCTTAACAAAAGCAGCTGAAAAGAATGCCTTATAGACATAGGCACATAGAGAGGAATTCTAGAGCTATGCTGTTCACTAGTCACATGTGCTATTGAATTTAAGAGCAAATTTATTAAAATTAAATAAAATTCAACATTTAGTTCTTCAGTTGCACTAGGCATGGACTTCATTTGCAAAAAAATTTTTGATAGTAACATTTGAAACTTTAAAATACTGTCAATTAAGAAAAATAAGATTTCTAAGTATTTCAAAGATTTACTTTTAAAAGCAATTTTATGGATTCAGAAACTAAGTTAAGCCTTAAAATCATTTTAATATTCAGACAACCAGTTTTTCATTTCACATTTTGAAGATGATTTAAGATTTTATACAATCATTTAAAAACTTACTTCAAAATTAAGGTCTCGGATCAAGATATCTCCATTTGGCGTTGCTAAAGGAACATGATCAAATCTACAGAGGAAATCAATAAAAAGAAGATAATTTTACATTAAACACTAAGCAGATGCAGCTGAAAGAAAAGGATACTATTTAGTTTAACAAATGTTTATGGTGCTGAAGAACCTTTTTCTGTACGTACCTTATGATGTTATCAGCATTGATGATTTCTCCAGCACCAGGTATCAAGGGAATGGCTTGTGCTGCTTCAGTACGTTAAATGGAAAAGAAGTATTAAAGCATCATATTATGTCAGCAAAAACTTAAGACTATGTGACCTACTGAACTCATATTTACCCCTTTCCTGTTGCGAGACCATTGTGCGTTCATATTTTCCATGGTTTAAATCCTTTAGTACTTGCGTTAATTCTGAAATCCGAGCAGTAAAACTGAAATTACAAAAAAAAAAGAGCTATCATCAAATCTCCAAAGGCTATTATATCTTTTACATTTATTTTTTATTCACTTATTTGAGATAAAACTGACATATAACATTGTGTAAGTGCATATCTTTTATCTTAAATTAACTTAACTGAAGTTTCCAAAATCATCTTAGTTTAAATGAAACAGCCTAAAAGAAGTCTCATCAACATAAAGTATTAGTGATAGATAGTATGAATGTTTTACTGTGTTGTAGGAGAAGAACAGAAACATGGGGATAAAGGAAGAGGTTTAATAGTATTCCCACCCAACAGGTACTTTTTTAATAGGTAAATCAAGAATGTTGCCACTAGGATTTTAAGGAAGTTTCTAGTAGATACTACAAAAGGACTAGTGCTAGTGTATTCCTTAGACCCAGGAAGTATGAACCCTGAGTTCCTGCTGGGGTGAGCTATAAAGCTTTGTATAAAGATGGCCTTCTTTCTGAGGAAGGCATTTATTATATATACACCAAATGCACACTACCTCTCTGCAAACAGAAGAATTTGGAAGATTCCTCTCTTTCATATTCCGAAAAGGGGAAAAGATGAAGTGTTCTTAATATTAGATGGAAATCACTATAGCAATAGAGAGAAATCAAAACTAATGACAAGAAGTTGAGGCATATAAGAATCACGTGATAGTCAAAGAGAAAGCACTCTACATCAGAGAAGCAAAACAGGATTTTTCTGTGAAGAACAAGCAGCAATCTCATAAAGGAACAGAAGCACCCCACATGCCATGAACTGTAAAGGCACAAGCTCTTAACAAGTATGAAGAATGTCAGTATTCTCAAGAAAGAGACTCCGCACAGTAGTTTATTTCTATAACTTCTACAACTTCTCCTATTTTTCCATGAAGACCTTAACCGCCATAGGAGGAGAGAAGAAGGAATAAAGAAGAGGAAATATCCAGAGATGAATCAGAGACCTGGGAAAGATCCTGAGTCATCCAATTTCTCCAGATGACCTGAAATTTATGGTACTTTTTTACATTATAGAGTTTTTTATACTATACCAACCCTTTTATTAGAGCCAGAAATATTGAAATACTTAATTCCACTTTATGGTCTAAGAACAGATACTACTAGGTCATATTACTAGATAATATGATCACATTTACAACTGTACCTGAAGATACTACAAGGTAACATTTCATTTTTTTTTTTCATTAAAATCAATTTCATCTTTTGCTAGGTTGCCAGTACCAAAGATCTAAGGGGGGAAAAAATGTATGGTAGGCAATGAAACGTTCATATTAGAAGATTCTATTCATTTAGTGTTCTGTGAATTTAAAAAAGACTGTCATGATTCAACAGGTCCCAACTTATTGAATACCAGTGTCCATGGAGCAGATAGATTAAGAACCGCAACCTAGTTTAAGGCTCAAAACAACTATCTTAAGGAAACATGAAAAGTTCAGTATAAGAAAAAAAAATGTTTTTCCTTAATTCTTTACCAAAACCAGCTTCCAGGGGTAGCAGCGTCAGTTATTACTGATCTTAACCTCAACTGAGCACAATCATTAAGGATAACATACGTTTTAAAAAATTATTCTCTGCAATTGCTCCTTATTACTAATCTTACTTACCCAGCCAATCTAGTCATCTCACGGCCAGCCAAAACAATTCGACCCAGAGCTTGAGACATTCGCAAAAGCATCCTTCCACTTTGGTAGTAATCCTTAACCAGAAAAAATATAGAATTTTTCACTTATATTTCTAAGATTAAGAACTAGGTTTTCCTTATTTTTATATTTGAATTTTCAATTTGTTATTATTACTACTACTTTACCTCCAGAAGTTCTGAATGTGTACTCTTGAGATGTCGAGAGTGAGACAAATCTAGGAAAGGACGACTGACAACTAGATAACCAACTACAGTGGCGAGATCTGAAAAAAAATAGTTAAGACTTAAAACTTTAACAATACTTCACTTTTTCAACAAATTCCACCATCTCTTTTAAAGCATACTTACATTTGGCAATTATGCTATCAATGAAGCCCATAGAAAACCGAAACAAAATGAAATTATGTAGGTGTTCCACCTGGCAGAAAGCAGAAAACAAAAAAATATATTATTTTCTATGTATAAAAAAATGAATCTACCATGAGGATAAAAGACACTGTATAACTTATTTAGTCAACAAATATTTACTGAGTGCATATGATTTCTGATTATATTGTATATCACATTTCATCAAGTACATGTTGATCATAGAGCAGGTGCCAAACAAATACTTTATGAAACCATTTTTATACAAACAGAATGGAAATTACATAAAGAATGTTAATGTGGTGTTCCTTGCATATAACAGTACAACGACATTGTATTCACAATACTAACAGGTAAATACATGGCAAAACTGATCAATAATAAAAACAAAAAGAACAGAAAAATAAGCTAATTTAGTTGAACCACCAGCAGTCCAGGTTGGTACTCAATGCTTTGCTTTAGTTGGAGACACCTGGTCTGTCTCCAACTAATTTCTCTAAGAATTATATTACACTCAATCCAAACCAAGTGTTAATGTAAATTAATGCCACACAGGCCGAGTCTGTAGCTTTTATCTGAGCATGCATTATCTCAACATTCCAAGTCTAAAAGTGTTTTTTATTCTGCATTTTTAGTGTTCTCAAATTTTCCACCTATCAGATCATTCAAAGTCCTGCATGATCTGGCACTAGACTCTATCTTAAAACTCATCTGCTTCTAGAAACTCTCTGATTTCCGGAAATGGTGGTTCCTCAAGCATGTTCCTGCCTTAAGGCTTTCCACTTGTGTCCTCTGCCAGAAATACTGTCTTCCTAGATGTTTGTATTTTATGACTAACACCCCCACTTCTTGTGGGTTTCTTATACAATGCTACCTCCTCGAGAAAGACCTTGCTATCCTAGCTAAAACAGTTAGGCAACAGCCCCCATCACACTCTACCACTTTATCCCATTTTATTTTTGGTCACAGAGCTCTTTACCATCTGAAATCACATAAAATATCCAGTTGTTTACATGTTTGTCTTCCACTAAAATGTGGGTTTCCTAAGTACAGGATAGCTTGCTCTTACTACCATCTGCAAAAGAACAATGGTTAGAACATTTATTCAATGAATGCCACGTGTTACATGGGGTGCTCAATGCCTGAGGTACAACAATGATTAGAATAGACAAGGTCCCTGAGCTCATGGAGTTTACATTCTAATGAAAGACACAAACTAGTAAACAAACAAGATAATTATAAATAACAATGTATGTTTTTAAGGAAACAGGTCATTAAAATGGAAAGTTAACTAGTGGAGGTGGTTTCAGACTAATTAGAGAAAGCAAGGCCTCAATAAGGTGTTAACTTTTGGGCTAAAATCTAAAGGATAAGTATAAGCAAGCCATGTGAAGACTGAGATGGTGAACAGCAGTCCCCTGGAAAATTACCTTAAATGCATTTTAATGAGCACCATCAAATGTCAGTCATGTTAAATATAAATAAGGCAAAAATCCAATTTATGAAATAATTTAAAATGACAACCACTTTAATCTTTTCAAATCAAATACATATTTAATTTTACCAATTTCCACTAAAATGTAAGCTCTTTAAGGCAGGATTTTGCTATCACATTCACCGCTGCTATCACACTAGTTTCTGGAACAAGAACAGGCATCTAGATGATATTCAATATCTTTTGAATAAATAATTAAATTACTTCAATTCAAATTTTCCAAGTGGCAAGTAAATAAAATTGAAACACAGTTTTCACAAGAAAAATGTTTATATTCTAAATCAAGGGCCAGCAAACTGTGGCCCACAGTCCAAATCCAGCCTGATACGAATTTTTATAAAGTTTTATTAGAACACAGCTACACTCACTCATTTACATATAGTATATGGCTACATTCGACTGGCAGAATTGAATAGTTACAATAGAGACCACATGGCCTGAAAAGCCTAAACTATATTTGTACTATCTTGTCCTGTACAGAAAAAGTTTGTTGATCCCTGCTGTAAATAATAATCTTCACAGTATTTTCATGAACACTACAGGAACAAATTTTCTGTACAAATCACTAAATTTATCATTAAATAAGGTTGCATACCCTATGCAATCTCTGTAGAAATAAACTGACTATTACTTTAAT